AGCAGGGTCAGGACCAGAAGCACGTGCGCCGAACCCCCAGCCTGTGCCAGAACCCAGGGGTCAGAGGACCACTCTGGCCCGCTGCCTAGTTGTGTCCATTCTGGAACACAGCCACCCTCCTCACATATCGCTTACGGCTGCTTCTGTGCTGCCACAGCAGAGCTGAGGACTTGCGACACAGCCTTATAAATCCCAACGTGCTTACTATCTGTCCTTTTCCAGAAGAAGCATGCAGACCCCTGTTCTAACCAAGCTAGGATGGGACAGGAAGTCATCCTCTCTTTCTGCCTCCAGCTTCCGTCTGAACCTGTCTGAGGACTATCTCAGTCAAGTTCTCTCTGAACCACTGTGTAGAGAAAGCATGTCCTACAGCCAAGTTTATCAAACGTGCTCTGGGCCTGGATGAGTGACCCAGGTTCCCCAAAGAAACGCCTGGAAAGACACTGGTGGTGAGTCACCTCTCCCGGAAGCAGGGAACAAGGCTCACTGCAAGCAAGACCTGGCGTGGGGGTAAGGAGACTTGGCCCGTGTGCCGGCTCCCTTCCGCACAGGTTGGAAACGAGGTGCTGGTGAAGGAGTGTTTCAGATAAAAAGGCTTGTTGAGTTTGTGAGATTAAAGAAACAAGCAAAAAAGGCTGGCTCCTCTGGAGAAGTTTACAGAAGATAGTAGAAGAATGTGGCCACGTCCCCTGACCTGTTTGGAAGAAGAATGCAAAAGCACAACACCTCCCTGAGAAACGACCCTTCAATTTGCCGAACAGGCAGCGTCTAGAGGGGCCTTGGAAGGGTGCCGGTGGGCTCTGGGCTCGCCGAAGCTCCCTGAGCCCCCGCCTCTCCCCCAAGTGCCCCTGAATTTGGGGCTGTGCCTGGCTGCGGTTTCGGACACCTCTCTCTGGTGGCGCTCTCTTCCTGGAGAGAGGAAAAGTCGGCGAGAAAGATTTCCTTCTCCCCTTAGAGAAGCTGACGCGGGCAGCTGTTGTGAGGACCCGCGGGCTGGCGAGGAGGGGCGCGTCGGGCCTCTGTGACGGGAGAGGCAGCTTGCACAAGCCAACCTCACAAAGAATGCCTCAGTGTCCCCTTCGGCGAGCTGTGGCCGCCAAGCAGCTACGCGGGTTACACACATTCCATCTCCAGGCTGCCTCGCTCAGCAACACCTAGCCTCCGTCCGGCAGCCGGAGACGCCAGGGCAGGGGGCCAAGGAGCGGGCCTTGCACGCCGCGGCCGCCCGTCTGGAGCCCCGCAGGGGGTAGGACTGCTTCTTGCCTCTCGGCCATGTAACCCTCCCCGCCTCCTGGAAGTGCTTCTGGGAGAGAGGAGCCCAAGGGGAGAGGGCACTGGAGGCCAGCCTCGGATCCTGCATCCAAGGACAGTGCGGCGATGCTACACTGACGGCCACTGCCTCTGGGAGACAGCCAGCGGGGGGTGGGGGTGGGGATAAAAAAGGAGAGGTGGTGGGAATTGGTGGAGACCGACTAGCTGGCACCAAATGAACGGAACTTAAAACCCAAGGCACAGCCCGGCCAGCTCTGTCACTACACCAGGATGGGTCTCTCTTAAGACTGCTCCCCTCTGTGCCCAGGAGACTGACCGAGATGTTCCATGTTCTCCTGCTTGTACCTGGATGAAAAGTGAGCAGGGCTGCAGAAAGCGAAACCCTAGTGAAGCCCACGGCTCTCAGCACTGGTCTAAACACCCAAGTTCACAGCCATTAATACGAGGCACTTTTAGCATCCATCAGTGGTAGACACGGGGCTTCTGAATCCTTTACTGTAACAACCACCTTCTCTGAGAGCCGCCCCCCCCCCCCCCCCCCCCCCCGTCCCCCCACGTGCCTGGGATTTCCACAGCTCTCTGTCGGGTAGGACACCAGACCCAGACTCTGCTCCTGAGTTGTTCAAAGTCCCCAACCTCGGACATGAACAAAACCTCTCGTGTCTACCGTGAGCTCCTAAAAATAACTACTCGGTCAACAACTACAGAGCTCTAATCATGGGCCCTCCATGTTTTTACTGGCTTCTTTATTTTTATTCTTTTTTCTTTTATTGAAAAAAGAAAGTATCGGTTAAGAGGAAATAATCCATCACCTTAATTATACCACTTTTCGGTTCTTTTTTTTTTCTTTTCCTTTATACAGTTTTTCATTTGTTAAAGCTCACATTCTAGAAAAAGATACATGACGGCACTGTGTTTATAGCCGATGCTTAAGAAAAAAAAATACAAGAAAGGAAGAAAGAAATGCACACCCGGGCTACATTGTTTAAAATGTGACTCATAACAACAACAAAAGTCTTTTTACAAATCACATGACAAGGCAGCTTATTCATGTTCTCCTCTCCTTGTTTCTTCTCTCTATGCCTTCTCTCGCTTTCTATGGCTTGTTTCTCTTCATTACTGACTCACACCCTGGTTTACAATCAAAGTATACACACGAAGCAGAAAACACAAGGTGATTGTAATAAAAAAATGTTTCATGGCGAGAAATGAGTAAGAGGCAGAAAAATGAAAGACACTTGCAAGTATAAAAGATCAAGAGTACCGAACAAGACCCAGCCCAGTGGTCACTTTCATTGCGTTTCCTTAAAGATTTACCTAGCCCACACTGGGCTCTCCCAAAGAGTGAGATTTCGCCTGTCCCATGGTTAATTTATAATGGAAAAGAAAAATAACCCAGAGTCAAAAAAACACGCTAACAATGTAACCATCTACAGTTATTAGTGTTGAACCACCAACTCTCTGCATCCTGCCTGCCCAAACCTGACTTCTCTTTGTTCCCCTTTTTGAGTGAAAAGGCTGACTTAATTCCAGGACACCCAGGTCCCCACCAGGGCCACCGGTGCCCTGACCAGGAGAGGAACGGTGTACCAGTCATGAGGTTAGACAGGGCAGATGGTCCTCTTCTCCCCCGTGGAAGGCTTTGCTTGAGTCAAACCAGACTTGCATGCTGAGGCCAGAGGGGTCTCCGCCCAAAAGAGGACTGGCCCTGCGTTCAGCTAGCTACCGACTCAGAGTTCCACATACACCACTTGAGATAGAAAGTGTCCATTTTCAATTCCACTCCTGTTCTTGATTATGTTCCTTGGCCCAGTCTCTGCCCCTCAAGACTCAGTTTCCTTCTTCCAAAGAGCTTGTTACCTCCAGAGACAACAGCCATGGGCCAATGCACACCACCTGCGCACTGCTCAACCCCCCCCTCCCCCGCCCCCCGCTCCGGATCAGCCCATCGAGAGAGTGCTGGAGATGCTTACCTTCAAGTCACTAAGCTCTGTGTTTATTTTGGCTAAATGAGCACTGCAGCTCCGATGATATTTTATTTATATATTTTTTACAAGAGAACATGACTGGACTGTAAAGCCTCACGGTAAACACAACCTCAAGGAAGCACATGTGCCCCGGTTTGTTTATTCTCTTACAGAAGCAGAGCATTTAGCCCCCGTACTTGTCAGTCATGGACCCAGACACGCGCCCTCACTCACAACCATGTCCGTGGCCATTGCTGTGAGCCTAGAGCCAGCCTTCCCGGGAGCTTTGGGTCTTAATCAGCAGGTTTCGCTTCCCCAACACAAACATTACCTTGGGTCCTAGAGGTTAGAACTTGAATTCAACTGCGATCCAAGTGATTCAGTTCAGATCTCAGCTTCCCTCCCAATGCTCAGATCCGCATTCACATAAATCTCACACCCATAGAGAACCAGCACATGCACATGAATGCTCTCCACACTTTAAATGTGCAGCAGGGAGTGGGGGTCCCGTTCGGGAGGAAGCAAGGGCGAGAAAGAAAGAAATTGTATTCTGCGTCCGTCTGTCATACTCTGTTCTGCCACTTTCTTCCCCACCTATTTGCTTACAGGGTGAGGGGTGGAAAATGAGGCCAGATGATTTGGAGTCCACAGCGCATCTAGGTGGCAAACCGGGAATTCATCTCTTTCTAGCCACGAGCTGGACAGATTAATGAGGGCAAAGATAACGAGTCTAGACTTCAGATATAAAAATGACTTTCCTTATCTCTGGAATGCCGTTACCTCTGGGGTTAAGGCCAGCCAGTGCAAACGGGGCACAGCAAGCCTCACAACTGATCGCATAAAATAGGGTATGAAAATCCCCAGCCCTCAGGTGAGGGTGAGTGTCTGAATATCTTTGCCACCCAGGCCAACAGAGAGGAAGAACTTACAGTGGCTTCTAAACACTCAGGATGGGGAATGTCGGCGGAAATTTGATCGGAGAGAATTCCCTGGAGCATAAGGAGGGCAGAGTGTGGGACCCCTGCACCCCCACAGCACAGTGGTTACCACCATCCAGGCTCCCCAGTTCCCCTCTCTTTGCTCTGTTCTCTACGTAAGTAGGGAGAAAATGGCCTGTGCTGTTTCTCAGTCCCCTATGAATGCTCTAACTCCAGTCAGCAAATGCGCCTCCTTCTTGCCTTTACCAGACAGCAGCTCCAGAATTCTGCAATTTTTCCCCTTAGGATCATCTTTCATTGTGTGTTTCCCCTAACTTTCCCTCCTCGCAAAACGCCCTGCCACTGTACGTCACTGAGGGTTCACTGAGACCGCTGCTGGGTGCCCTGCAGCTGGAAAGAAACCGTCTTCAGGCGAAAATAAATCATTGCCACCTCATTTCACTTTTAATTTACTACTGATTTTTTTTTGTTGTTCAGTCTCCCCCACAGCTTCTCCTTTCTTGCCACTCATGCATTTTCAGCCTCATTGCTCCCCGTTGGACAATGCAAGGCTGAAAGGTTTATCTGTAACCTATTTGTCTCTATTATAGGTTTCTAAACTTTAATTAAACAGGAGACAGTGAAGATCTCAATCCCCTTTCCCGGAATCTACAGGTATGGTTGGTGCCATCTAGTGGCGGGAAGGTGTGGTGTCTCTTTTCTCCTGTGAGGTTTGTCAAGTTTGGAGATTTCTTCCCCATGCTAAATTCACATCACATGGGGAGAAGAAAAAGACATGCAAAAAAAAAAAACTCACAATTTTTTTTACCTTTAAAATTCTCACCTGCAAAAGCCGATATGGGTTCTGGAGGAAAAAAAAAAGAAAAAATACTGAGTTAGATAAGGAGAAATAGGGCTATGATGATGACTTTCAATAATTTTTTTTTTTTTTTTTGGTAATTCCCCATGGAAAGTGTCCCGTGTCCTCCTCACGCTCTAGACTACGTCTAAGTCTAGCATACTATCACGGGGGCTGGGTGGGTGGGGAGAGAGCCCCAAAGTTGCTTTGGAACAAAAAGTCCTTTATAGAGCAATGGGTCCCTAAAGATTGTAATCAGTCACTTACCACTGATTACTTTCTCAGAGCCTAGATTATGTTTAGATGCCTGGGCCCGAGGGTGGCCTGAAGGGACTGGGGTGGTCCCAGGCGCTCCTGACATCATCAGGCACACACATCCGGGACCCGTGTACCAAGAAAAGCACTTGGTGAGTGATTACAGTTACTCTGCCAAGTCAGAGCAGGTCCCATTCCTTCTCAGGATTCCCTCCTGCTTTTGGAAATGTCCATGGCTCTCATGGGAGATGGTCAGGATGCCCTTGGGGTGGCCTGGGTAAAGTGTGTGCATCTTCCGTGGGCTGGTTGCTCAGCACTTCTGTCCAAAGGGACAGTCACGGTGTCCTTCTTATGCTGGTCACCTGCCATGCGATGTTTCATCTTACAACTCTGGGATCTTGAGTGCTGAAGGTATTAGTTTCAAAGCAAACTCTAAAACCTTACTTCACCTGCCATAGTTTGCCGTGTAATTCATTCATGTAAGAGAACGACTTGGGTAATTGTGTTATCAGTCTGATATAACATATGTACTATTTCCGCTCACCAGTGAAGGCTTCCATTAAAAACATCAAATCTTTGCAGCATGTAATTCTGACTGGCAGCTGCTCTCATTCTCTAGCATTTTCTTTGCTAAAAGCTGGAGTCTGATGATGGGGTCTTGGCATCCTGAGTCTTCATATACTTAATGCACGTCTATTTCTGAATGGGAACAGGAGATAGAAGACTTCACCTCATTTATACCCCTCCCCTCCTGAATGCAGCCTAAGACACAGCTACATTCATACCTCACCTCCTGCATAGACTGCTGCTCTACCCCCGGGGTATCACTGGGTTTGAAAATGGCATGCTGCCTCCTCTTGTATATCCTAGCCCTTGGCATCTTATTTGGAAGAGCCACAAAGAGACAGATATTCACGTACCCATACAGTTCTCCAGTGGGACATCAGTGCTTATCCGAATGTCATCAATGGCAATTTCTCCCGAACGTCCTTTCCCTATGACTCCCTCAAACACAATCTAGAAGCCAGAAGAACAAGAACCATGGTTAACTGAGCTGCCTGGTTCAAACGGTGCAAAGATTTCCCATTTTCTGTTAACTGCAGCTTAAAATGTGTGTGTGTGTGTGTGTGTGTGTGTGCGCGCGCACACACATGTGTGCGTGTGCCTGTGTGACTATACCTGGTACACATCTGTTGAGCACATGGCTACGGTGCTTGAAATCTTAATTTAAAAAGAGAGGTTCAGGGGCGCCTGGGTGGCTTAGTCGGTTAAGCGTCCGACTTTCGCTTAGGTCATGATCTCGCGGTTAGTGGGTTCGAGCCCTGCGTCGGGCTCTGTGCTGACTGCCAGCTCAGAGCCTGGAGCCTGTTTCGGTCTGTGACTCCCTCTCTCTCTGACCCTCCACCTGCTCACGCTGTCTTTCTCTCTCTCTCCTAGAAATAAATAAAAATCTTTAAAAAAAAAATAAAAATAAAAAGAGAGGTTCAAATCAAATGTATATCTGAGAGGATTAAAAATATGTATAACAAGGTGATGGACACTGTTGTCTAGTAACCAGAATGTGTTGATTAAAAGGACCAGAACTAGGACACGTTGAAAGGAGGTTTGAGATGTCTCTAGCGATTTTTGAGGGTCCTTTCTTATGAATCTTTCAAATGCCCCATCCAGGTACTGTATTTGGAACCTCAGAGCACATGACAGGTGGTCGTGAGGTGGGAAATAACAGCACTGGGTTTAGATTGCCTTGGGGTAACAGTCTTATGGTTCCATTATTACAACTAGGAGGGAAAGGACCTCTTCCTTCACCAATAGTTCACTGAAGACCTACTATGTGCCAGGCACAAGGGCAGTTACAAAATCTAATAAGCCAGGCCCTCTGCCCAGAGAGTCTCACCATCTGGTGGGGGAGACAAAAATGCAAACAGGTACTTAGAACAGGATGCCCTAAGGTTTACAAACGGGAAAACGGTGAGGGGCGGGGCGGAACTCAGGAAACCTTACAGCCTCCAGGGTGACTGCGGGTGGGCAGCACCCAGAGGCCCCTCTGCTCTGTGGTCTTCAATGCCTCCTCACTCTCACCGTCCCCGGGTTCTCTCCGCAAACCAGCACATGTCCTCTGGCAAGCTGAGCGAGCAGTGGGCTGCCTCACCAGCCATCTGTTGCTGCTTCTCGTCTGGGGAGGAGCAGGTTAATGCTTTGGCTGGTGCTCGGTCACCTCTTCCACAGTGTGTCTACTCCTACCCAAGCCTCGGCCACAGCTGTGCAGACCCATCTGCGCCTCAGTCTTTCGCTCTGTGGGGCAGAGATAATAGAACTCCGCTCCTGGGAGAGAAACCACTCATTTGGGAGTCTTTCTGGTCTGCTGGCCACCGAGCGCAAACAGTAACTCTTCGCTTCCCAGGTTCACCCGGGGACAGGTCTGGCAGGGTGTCCCCCTCTCCTTGGGGTGTGAGAGGGCTGGGCAGTCCTCCGTCGTGTGTGCGTGTGCGGAGCTTGGTTTATGTTTATTTCCCTGGCTTCTGTGTCCCTTTGTCAGCCTACCTGATAGCAATCTAAACTAAAACGGAGAGAAGAAACATTTGTTGGGAAGATTTTTGGCAATATAAAAGGCAATAGGAGGAACAAAGAACCAAGTCTGGATGTGGAGATAGGCACGTTTTGAATAACAAATAAGAGTGTCATTTAGTTGCCATGGCAATGTGAGAAACACAATGAAAACAGCCGCGCTTAACCACGTTCCCTAATGATGAATGGGCAGGGCCCTTTGAAATACAGAACTACACATCACAAAGATCCCCTCGGATCTCTGCACCCACCTCCTGTCACCGCCCTACCTGATACTCCATGTCATAGCTGGGCAAGATGATGCGCCCGTGTTTCCACTCGTTGCCCTGGTCCTCGCGGACGACCCAGAGGAGCTTGCTCTCCTGGCTGGCTTCGCGCACCACCTGCAGCGCCACCCCGCGGCCGCCCGTGGCCTGGTACTGGAACTCCATGCACACGGGGCTTCGGGGCAGGTGCACGGGAGGGCTGATGAGCCGCGCGTACTGGCCCTCTCGCCGGCCATCGCTCTGCAGCCGCAAGAAATTCCTGTCATCTGAGGGAAACAAACCCAGAGGGTCTTGGTAAATGCTTAGGAAAGAGACCAGTTTGCAGCTGTGCCTCCCCCCCCCCCCCCCCCCCCCGGCTCCCCGGGAAAGCTGGGACAAGAGCTTAGGTGCCTGTTTATTCGTGCCTTTGTTCTCCAGGCCCCGTGTTTCTTTTCCAAGGTGCTTTCAGGGCTGAGCTCGAACGCTGCTTCCTTTTGAAGCCTTTTCTGGAGTCTCTACCCTTTTCTGGAGTCTCTACTGTCCGGGTGGTCCTTCCTGCCTATTTCCATGCATCACCTTCTCTGTGCCTCTTTTACACATGGCACTCGGTGCGGCTGGCCTTATGTCTTGGCTGGTGGTGTCTGTGCTACGTCTTCTCTTCCTGGGTGCTAGGATGCCAGACCCATGTCCTATTCACCAGTGGCTTATCTGAGGCCCGATGCAGCCTAATGAACTAAGTTATACGGGGCTGAGGTGGCTGCTAGGCTGGAAGGTGATTCTAGCCAGGTGGTTCATGCTTCAAGCCTCTGTCATCTTGTCTGGGCGCTGTCCAAATGGCTGACATTTAAAACCGTCTGTCTCCACCAGTGCTACTAGATGGTGCCTGGGCTCTGGGGACTGCAATTCAGAAGCCCAGGGTCAACTTCAAGCACAAGAAGGGACGGTGGCTGCATAGGGGTGAGGCAGAAGCTCGACATCCCACTACCTCCCCTGTCCAGCCTGGTGAGGCCAGAACTGGCCTTTTTCAGAGAGTCTGGCAAACAGAGCTCCACTGAGAACAGGCACTGTCGTTATCACTAACGCAGGCTGTGTGTTTAACAGAATATACGCATGATGGGAAATTAAGATTTCACCCGTGCAAATGTTTGGAGAATGGGCCTTTAGGTAGATTAGTTTTCAAGTGCATCAGATGCTATGCAGAAGACTGAGTTCTTGTTGCCATTTGCACACCTCATGTGCTGCAGGTACAGGCACGGGGGCCTGCAGCTGCAAATCCGCCTTGCACAGGAACATCCTGGCCACTTGTACAGAAAACAGGCTGGGATTCGAGGAGACAATCTCACTGCCTCCATTTGGCCCTGAAACGTCTTATGCTGAACACTTCTGCAAGATGGAAGGGGCACTTTCACACCACACAGCCAGCCCATCAGACACTTCAGGATCATGTTAATCTGAGACGCGTGCACCCAGCTTTCTTAGTTACCAGGGACTGTGAACATCCCAGGCTTGTCAGCAGAGGAGGGGAGAGGACTCCCGAGCCCTGTATCAACAGGTTAGTCTCTGGGCCACTGGTTTGCTCTTGCTACTCCTGCTGACATCACAGTTCTCGCAAGAATGAGCCTGTGACAGTCTTCTTATCAATGGCCCCAAACCAGCTCCTTTCTTCCCCCCTCCCCCCAGGCATCTCCCTTCTTCCTTCCTGGCTCCCCGAAGTCCCCTCCAGTTAGATTCTCTGGGATTATTGCTCCCGAAGCTCCCCTCCCCTGGAGTCAAATCAGACCAGTGTAGACGCATTGCTGGGATTCCAGTTTGTCTCCTTCACCATCCAGAACCATGTCTGTCTAATACCTCCACAACATGAGACTTCTGCAAGGTCAAAGTCAGTGCAGATACCTAAGGAGCTGCCTATAACAGAGGATTTTAAAGGTGGTGATCTGCCAAGGGAGGAGGCATGGGCGTCACAATGAGACACTCAAAGATCTTCCGAACCTAAGCTTCTCCTATCAGATCTCATTACCACCGCTATTAATGATAGTAATTACAAGTCATATTTGCAGAGCGCTTTGCGGATTCCAAAGCACGTTGCATGCATTATTTCATCTAATCCATGCTAGATGCTTGTGAGCTAGATCTCCTTAGTCTTACTTTGTACAGGATAAAGACACTGAGGCTCAGAAAGGTTCGAGCAACTTGTGCAAAGCAGAGAGGGTAGTGGGTACTAGAGCTGTACCTGGAGTTAGGTTTTCCACATGCCTGCAGTAGGTTCCTCTCTTCAGCCATGCCCCAGGTACCTGCCCCGAGGCCAGGCAAGCAGGCACACTCTATTCAAGGCAGACTGGCCTCCCCGCCCCCCCCAACTCCTTACCATCCCCCTCACTCCCCTAACACCTCACTGTTCCCACCTCTTTTGCTAGTTCTTCACCTAACTCTGCTGGCACATTTCAACTAATGCCTCTTTCCTCTCCATACTTGAGAGTTTGCTGACCGTATCACTAATCTTACCTTGTTTTTATTTTTTTATTATTTATTTATTAGATTTTTAAAAATGTTTATTTTTGAGAGAGACAGAGAGAGAGAGAGCGGGGAAGGGGCATAAAGAGGGAGATACAGAATCTGAAGCAGGCTCCAGGCTCTGAGCTGTCAGCACAGCCCGATGTGGGGCTGGAACCCACGAACCTCCAGATCATGACTTGAGCCAAAATTGGAAGCTTAACCAACTGAGCCCCCAGGTGCCCCTTCACCTTGTTTTTAAGAAGACTCAAGGCCATTTTGCATGCATTTTAGCAGATAACCGCCCACTACCTTGTGCTGTAATTTAACTGATTCATCGCTGTCTTTCTCATTGCTCCAGTTAGATGATTAAGTCCCGGTCTTACACACACATAAGGGTTAATACTGCTCCTTCTCCCTGCCCCTAGACAGTGACACATGTATGCCACCACTCAAGAAAATTTTGCTCCCCTGGATGGATGACAAACACATGGATAAAAAACGATATGAGGCTCTATATTCTCATAAGAGAGAAGCAAGAACAGAGGGAGAATCAGCTTGCCTCTGGGAATCCCACAGACTCAGACAGTCTCTTCACAATTCCCTCCCGCTCTCCCAAGCCCACAGTCCCTTTCAAAGGCGAGGTGCACTGACAATAACGGGGTGACCTGTGGATGCACCACGGAGCCACCAGTGAGAAGCCCCCAAACACTCCCATGCTGCAGTAATTTCCGAGCCCTGACTGTTTCTACCTCATATATAAAGGAAACCAGATTTCAGAGACTTATTATTCAGCCTTCTTCCTTCACAGTTTCACAAATAAGACCCACTTGCTGCTTGAAAATTGCTTGGCAGAAATACTGTCACTTGTGTGAATTTACATTCTTAAGCGGCAGGGGATTCATAGCATAATGGTTAGAATTTAGTAAGTAAAATGTGTGTGGAGGTGGAAAGAGCCGTGCTGGCTGGATTTTATCTGGGTCTGTTCTATTTACCCATCCTGTTGCTAAAACTTCAGGCACAATCTGGCCACAGGTCTCCTCGACTACTGCCGACTGCCTCGCCCCAGGACCAGAGCTAGCCCCCTCCTCCCCCGCTCCCCCCACCCCTTTCCCTCACAATAAGACCGATAATTGCTTCGTGTGATTTAAAGGACCACTGGAAGACCAGGGAGTTAATGCTGGTGGTGTGCTAAGCACGAGCAGCTGAAGGATCATAATTCAGTGCTGACATCTAAGCTAATCCACTAGTTTGCAGAATCTCAAGACAAGCCGGCCTCTGAATTTCACTTAGTTAAATCATTTGTGCCCCACTTGTCTGTTAAGTGCTATGAGCTTGAGGGAAGAAAGATGATATGTAAATTTAAGGAATTAGCAGTAGACATCAGAGGGATGCTGAGCTGCAAAATGTCCCTGCCTGTCACTGGGAAAGGCCTGATTAGAAGCAGGACATCATGAAGGAATGGCTCAGACCAGGGACAGCCCAGGGAGGGGATAGGAAACGCAGAGGCAAGAGAACTCACATTCCCTGGGCACCTACTATGTGCCAGATGTTGCACCGGAAGCCTTGTCTGCCTTTTCTTATGTGACCTTCCCTGTGCAGTCTAGGTCTGTGAAACTAGTATTGTTTCCTCCAGGTTTACCAGAAGGGAAACAGAGGCTCACAGAATTGAGGCAATGTGTTCGAGACCACTGCTGGAGAGTGATGTCCTACGGGAGCCCTGACTGGTGTAAGTAGAGTTGCCGGGGCATGGCTTCTCAACTGGGTTGGAATCTTGGCCTAATGCTCACTAGTCTTTTAAAGCCTCAGTCTCCCCATCTGTAAAATGGATATAATAACAGCATTATTGGATATGGCTGTGAGGAGGAGGAGGAAATAGAATAAGCCATGCAAAGTGCCTTGCACAGTAACAGGGATATAGTAAGTGCTCAATAAAAGCTATGATCTGTATGTCACTACACACACTGCCTGCTATACTTGCCTTTTTTTTTTTTTAAAGAAAGAAAAAGGGTCATAAGAGCACGAATAGCCTGGAAAGACCAATCTAGACTCACAAGGAAGTATGGTTTGGCCCTGAGGACAGTGAAGATGCTCTCTGGATTGATGGATCCATCCAACCCCAGCAACCAGCCAGTTCCTATACTTGTGCATCCTGTGCTGTTTACCACATGTCTTTCCTGTCAAGATACAGTAGATGAAATAAAGTACTACATGATTCTGGAATGAGAGCAGGACCTCAAGAGACGGTTGAGATCGGGTCAGCCTGGCTGCCCAGAGGAACCACGCTGTAAACATCCCCAGAACAGCTGTCCACCCTCTGCTTAAAATTCTCCAGAGAAGGAGATTCCATAGGCTGCACCAGCAATGTGTTTTCTGGGTCATAACCCTAACTGTCAGGAACTCCTTAAATTCAGTTTTAGGTTTTCCTGCTGTCATTTAGACACACGTTCCCCCTTCTATCCCTGATGGAGCACAGCCAATTTCTGTCCTCTGACTTGGAAACATTTTCACCCATGAAGAAGTCAGGCCCTCCATCTTCACTTTCTCGGGAAACGCAATCTTTGCCTCTTTCCACGTCTACTTTCCAAGCCTTCATTTATGGTGGGAGGTCTATACCAACCTTCCTCTAAGCTAAGTGCTTCAGTGCTCTTAAGCCATGGCACCCATGTATGTGTTCTTCCAGAACATTCTAATTCATGGCTCACCTCTGCCAAACACGGAAGGAGTTTTAAGTACACGGGGGCTGTTGATTACTTGATAGAGCAAATGGCTGGCATGGCACGGGTGAGCCACGTTA